ATGACAGGACAGAGAGCAGAAATTGGAGCTCTGTCTCTCCAACAGATCTCTATTAACTGTTCAGTCAGACCACACTAACAAGTTCCTTACCTCTTAAAACAAAAGGGCCCCTCCTGATTTCCCCTCTAAAACCTTCACGCTCCACTCCCGGCTCCTCTCCCCTCTGCCTTGAGTTCTTTACACTCCTTTTCCACTCGTTCTGGGCCGAGCTGCTCCAGCTCTTCCCCTTTCTTTGGCCCACTGTTTGTGTCAGATGAGAATTTTTTCTCTTCCCTCCCTTCTTGTCTTCCCTGCCCCCAAAACTTCTCTCCTCCTTTCTCACCGACAAGGCTGCAGGGGCATTATTTTCCTGTTCTCTGTACGTCACCACTTGTTGGAGGTCGTCTCTTTCATTTGCACCGCTCAGAGTGGTGTTAATGGTATGTTGTGGGTTCTGGTGTTTGTACGTGTCTGCATGAGTCAGGTGATCACTGAGTCACCAAACTACTGTTAGCTTCTCTTTGGTTTTGGGTTGCTTGTGCCTTTGTGTCAATGTTTTACTTTTTATTGAAGTTTTTGCCTTTAACATTGATGCACAAAAATGAAAAGTCGCGTTTGTTTAAACCCTGGGTTTTTCCGTCCGCAAAGATCCTGCAGAAAAGGAGCGTCTGGAGCGTGTGTGTGTGTGCGTGCGTGCGTGCATGCGGGCGCGTGCGTGTGTGTGTGTGTGTGTGTGTGTGTGTGTGTGTGTGTGTGTGTGTGTGTGTGTGTGTGTGTGTGTGTGCATGTTCCAGGCAGAGCTGCTCCACAGTCAAACAATTTGCCCACTCTAACATATTTTAAGCTTTGTGAATTTGTTCATGCAAAATTTTACTGTGAAATGAAGTCTTGCCAGAACATGCAGGTGACTGACTAGACCAGGGGTGTCAAACTCATTTTAGCTCAGGGGTCCATTGAGGGAAATCTAGTCCCAAGTGGGCCGGACCGGTAAATTAAAAAAAAACTTCAGATTGTTTTCTTTGTTTTAATATAATCAATATAAAACAAGGCTGGAGCCTGAGGACAGTGTAGTACAAGTACAACACCTGAAGTGTACTTGCAAATTTGAAAAAATAAAAAAATCAATTAATAAAAAAAACATTCCTTAGTGATTCAAAGAGCTTACAGATCACACGGCTAGATCAGTTTCATGCAGCACTTAAAGTATATTTGACTCATTTTACTTTACATCTTTTAGCTTTCACCAGCACATCAACATCAGAAGTCACATCCTGAGTGGCGGCCAACTTCAGGATGTGATTCAAGTTCTTGTGTGAGCCTTGAGCGCAGCTTTGTTTTATTTAGACTCGTTACAGAGGAAACTTCAGAATCAGACGTTTTTATTGCCATATGTGTGACAAGTCACAACAAAACTTGCTCACAAATATAAGTTTATTTTCACTCTACATTGTAAAGTATGAAAATAAAGTATACACAATCATCTCGCGGGCCGAATTTAACCCGCTTGCGGGCTGGATCCGGCCCGCGGGCCGCATATTTGACACCCCTGGACTAGACAGTTGTGGGTACACACACCAGTGAGCTGCTCCTATGGAAGCAGTGAGCTATTGATCCTATACTCTCATAGGAGTGGACAGATAAAAATTATTAACATATTAAAGAGTAAAAATTGTGTTTCTGCCACATTTAAAATATCAATACATCACAATGCTTAAATGCATTTTTTTATTTTCAAGGAGAAATTTACAGAAGCAGGCCCGCCGCTGTCAACCATTATGAACATGTAAGGAAAAAATAAGTTTAACTTTGTCGAAATAAAAAAACATAAAGTTGAATGCTAACACTTTGACTGGCAGGAAGAGCACATTTTAGTCCCTGTATTCTGTTGAAGCGTGGACCATATTGAAATGGGTTGCCCAACAGATAAACAAACCCCAAAACAATAAAGTAAAATAAGAAAAAAAATACATTTAGAAACATTTCAAGTAAAAGTTTGGCTGCATGGTAGCACTTACCTAGCAGCATGAAGGTTGCAGGTTTGCATCCTAGCTGCTTCCTTTCTGTGTGGAGTTAAGTTTAGGGTCATGGCGAGCAGGTGTTACTCGGCGAAAGGTGCAGGGTACCCTGGACAAGTCACCAGTCCATCACAGGGACACATAGAGACACTAGTCACACAGTCACAGCTACAGAAACTTTAGTTTCTAGTCAACCTTAACGCATGGTTTTGGACTGTGGGAAGAAATAAAAAAATCTAAATAAACAGTCATTATTATTTTTGTTGTAAAAAGGTTAAAGATCCTGAAGATGCTCTTGAAAATTAAAGGTGATTGAAATAAGAATGACATCCTGTGGTCAAGTTTGGGTACTGCAGTGGATGTATCAAAACAAACAAGGCTGCTCTCATGCCCCCCCCCCCCCCCCCCCCCCCCCCACACACACACACACACACACACACCCATCCCTATTGGTGAGTTTCATGGTGGTTGCCAGTTACAGATCAGAAGAAGAAGAAAAGATCTTTTCTATAGCGCCTCTCAAGATAAAAATTACGAGGCGCTTCACAAAAACAAAAAAATATAAAAAAGAATTTTGAAAATGATTAAAAATATATTTTAAATGAGCAAAAAAATGGACAATTGTGAATAAAAAAAAGTAAAAAAAGAGAGAGAGTGAATAGGAAAGAGGGAAATCAGTGGATCCTGAGGAAGGTGGAATTGGTGGGGAGAGCAAAACAAGGAGAGGGTGATGAAGGTCACACAAAAGCCAGCCTGAACAGGTGCGTTTTCAGCTGCTTTTTAAAGGAGACCACTGAGTCCACTGGTCTCAGGCTCAGGGGGAGAGAGTTCCAGAGTCTGGGGGCCACAGCAGCAAATGATCTGTCACCTTTGGTCTTTAGCCTGGTGCTGCACAACCAGTAGGCTTTGATCACTGGACCTCAGGGACCTGCTGGGAGTGTAGGGACTAAGAAGATCACCAAAGTAAGATGGTGCTTGTCCAGGTAAGGCCCTATAGACCAGAACCAGGATCTTGAAGTGAACCCTGAAGTTGACTGGCAACCAATGAATCTGGAGGAGAAGCGGGGTGATGTGGGTGTGCTTGGAGGACTTGGTCAGAAGCCGATTACAGGCATCAAATTCAAATTGCTAACACTAGCATACAACGTCCGAGATGGTACGGCTCCCATCTACCTGAATCCTCTTGCAAAGGCTTAAATCTCGGCCCGGCCACTCCGGCCATCACAGGATCGTCGGCTAGCAGTGCCTACACCACTGTCAGGACAATCCAGACTCTTCTCATGCATCGTTCCACAAATGTGGAATGACCTTCCAAGCACTACCAGAACAGGGGCTTCCTTTTCAATTTTCAAGAAACTCCTGAAGACCCTGCTCTTCAGAGAACGTCTTCTTAACTAGCACCTTCCCTGCACCCGTCCCCCCTCTCTACTGTCTATTCCTTGTTCCCTCCTCTCCATGATTGACGTCAAGTTGTTGTTGCTGTTAGCCTCAAGGGCAACATGCTGATTATCACTTGTAAGTCACTTTGGTCAAAAGTGTGTGCTAAATACATAAACATAAACATTCTGAACAACCTGTGGAAGGTTCAGGGAGGTTCTGCTCAGACACGTGAAAAGAGAGTTGCAGTGGTCTAAGCGTGAGGAGATGACGGAGTGGATAACTGTCTCAAGTTCAGAGTGGGACAGAATGGGGCTCAGCTTAGCAATGTTCCTGAGATGGAAGAAGGAAGAGTGAACAAGAGAACTGACATGAGAATCCAGGGTGAGAGCTGGGTCAAAGGTCGAGCCAAGATTACTGACGGAAGGTTTGGTGTGAGTAGCAAGCTGACCAAGAGAGACTCTGACTTTGGGAACCAGCTTGTCTGGGGCACAGATGAGGATCTCAGTCTTATCTTCATTCAGCTGTAGAAAGCTCCCAGCCATCCAGGTTTTGATAGAGTCTAAGCAGGTGTGTAACAGCTGCAGCTTAGACATCTCATAGGGCTTAAAGGAGATGCACAGTTGGATGTCATCTGCATAAAGATGGTAGGAGATTCCTTTGAAGGAGCTCAGGATGTGCTGAAGAGGAAGCAGATAGAGGAGGAAGAGCAGAGGCCCCAGCACAGAACCTTGTGGGACACCATGGGTAAGAGAGGTAGTGGAGGACCTAAACTTGGAGACGGCCACAGAAAAGGAGTGCTCAGAGAGATAAGAGGAGAACCACTCCAGAGCAGATCCTGATAGGCCTACCCAGTCTCTCAGCCTCTCCAGTAGCAGGTGATGGTCAACAGTGTCAAAGGCTGCAGTCAGGTCCACCAGGACCAGGACAGAACAGTCCCCTGCATCACTGTGAGTCAGAAGGTCATTAGAGGCCCTAAGAAGAGCTGTTTCAGTAGAATGAACTCTACTAAAACCTGACTGTAAGCAATCATAGATGTTATGTTCATCAAGAGCAGCTGTGAGTTGTTTAGCCACAACCTTTTCCAAGATCTTGGAGATGAACAGAAGTTTAGAGATGGGTCTGAAGCTGCTATGGAGAGAGGGGTCAAGACTCATTTTTTGAAGAAGCGGGTGGATTACAGCGTTCTTAAAGTAAGCAGGGACCTGACCAGAAACCAGAGAAGCATTAATAATGGAGAGCACGCTGGGACCGATGGACTGAAAAGCACTTTTAAACAAAGATGAAGGTAAGATGTCGAGGGGGCATGCAAAGGTCTTCATAGAGTTAATTGGTTTAGTTAAATCAGGCAAAGAAACAGGAGCAAAGCTATCTAGGATGATGGGCCTGGTTGGAGTCGGGAGAGGCAGCGATAAGGCTGAAGGAGAGATGCTAGATCTGACCTTATTGACTTTGTCCACAAAGAAAGACAGAAAGTTCTCACAGTCTGTAACAGAGTGGATGGAGGCTGTAGGAGAGGCAGGAGACACGATGCTGCTGATGGTGTTAAACAGCACCTTGGGGTTCCCTTTGCTCTGGGACACCAGGTTGGAAAAATAGGAAACCCTCACGTCTCTGACTGCAGAGTTAAAGGATGTCAGAAGATGCTTTAGGTGCAGCAGATGGACGTAGAGATGGGTTTTCTTCCACAAGCGCTCAAGTTTTCTGCATTGGCACTTCAGGCTGCGAAGGCTGTCATTAAACCAGGGAGTAGGGTTCACTGCAGGAACTGATCTGGTTCTGACAGGACAGATGTTGTCCAGAATGGAGAGGCAGTGCTCATTAAACTGAGAAGTTAAGGAATCTGGGATGTTAACAGAACAACAGGGTGGATTAAAAGCAGCGGAAATATTGCTAGCTGTGCTCTCATTAAGAAAACGAGAACTAACCATAGGGCAAGCAGGAGGTGGGGATGCAGAAACTGACAAGTTAAAGAAAATGCAATGGTGATCTGAAATCACTGGCAGCTCCAGAGATGTTTTTCTGCAGGTGCTATGAAGGAGCTAGTCTTTTCATTGAGGGTGCCATGAAGGAAGTGGTCATAGGTACCTATTGTTCTCTAAAACACCTTCAACACTAGCAGATACACATGTGTGCACAAAACCTCAACAACACCTGAAACAATCATTAATAAACTTCATAAACTTATGAACAATCGCTGACTTTTCCATGAAATCATAAACACATACAGCCACACAGAAAACCATCTATAGTGTTGCAAGGTTAGCTAACTTTAGTGCTAGCATTTCCAAAACCCTCGACTGCTGCAGTGGTTGAGGGTTGACTCGCTTCATCCAGATCTGTAGGTTTTTGTGGGTCTGAGATCACTTCCAAAGATTCATTTGTTTCTGACTGAACTCGTGGAAATTTGGGCAACAAAAACCGATCAATTTTACCACTAGCTCTACCTTTCACTGGTTCGCAGGTGGAAAATGGGGTCAAAGGTTAACATCAATTTCCTGTTTTGGTTTAAGTTTTTACTATCTATATGATAATTAACTGATAATTTTTGTTTTGTATGTTAAATATTATCACATCCACACGTTAAATTAAAATTAAACTGTAAAAAAAATCTAATATTTACTTGGGGGTGCAATGACTTATCCAGGGGTTGCTATAGGGCCCCCTAGTGCCCCCCTGGCACCGCCACTGTCTGAAATATAAACATCCTCAGGACAAACACTGTCAGCATTTAGACTCTAGAGTGTGCCCCCTGGTCTGTGTGGAGCCAGAAACATGCTGGGTAAAGCTGAAGGTGTCCATGAGGCTGGAAAAATTCATGGTAAAGTGGTCTGAGGGATCATCAACATGGATGTTAAAGTCACCAACAATCACCAGTATGGACAGCTTCACAGTGGAGGATAGAAAGTCACTAAACTTCTGAAGGAAAGAACCGTTTGGACCAGGTGGACAATAGACCACAGCACAGTAGAACGGGTCCTTACGCCCGACTTTAATCAGCTGCAGTTCAAAGGAAACAAAGTGACCAGAGGTTGTAGAGCTACATGGAAGTTGGTCTCTGAAAACAGCATCTAGGCCTCCACCACGACCAGAACCCCGGGGCTGGCTAAGAAAAGAATAACCACTCGGGCAGAGTTCAATCAGAGCAGAATAATCAGATATTTGCTGCCAAACTTCAGTCAGAAACAGAAAATCTAGATTTTTAGAGAGAATTAGTTCATTGAGCAGGAAGGACTTATTGTTAACAGAGCGGGTGTTTAATAGAGCCATGCTGGGTGAGGTGGAGGAATCAGAAACTACAGAAACAGCTGGAGTTAGTGGACCTAAATTAGCAGGGTTAGATACACGGTGTTTATAAAAAACACTTATGGAGGGAACAGGAGGAGAAGCCACTGAGGAATGAAGATAAACCGACCTTAAAAAACTTGGACGGATGAAACGCGTCCCAACGCGGCCTGGCGGGAATACGGAAGTGGCGCTCAGGTCGCCAAACAAAGGACAAGAAGCAAGAAGATCACGCCGATGTTTACTAGATAAGCCACGCTTTTAGAGAAGTCTTATTCTCACCTGGATTCCTGCTCGTTTACCTCTTTTCCTCCGACGTTTTCCCAGGACCGGATAAACATCGCTGGAGGCGCCCTGGTTGGGATCGTCACTTTGCTCCGGACCAGCGCCGCTCAGGTTGACAGAGAGGGAGGTACGTCCTCGGTGCATCTTGGGCAATCGTGAATGAACGGAAGGATAAAAGAGTCTGGCGATCATAGGAGATGGTAGCAGGGACACTACCGAAGAGGATCGCAGACAGGAGCAAGGTGGAAAAGAGGAGGTTAGTGGAGAAAAGTTTCAAAAAGTGGCCGGTGAGCACCAGAAGATTCTGGAAGACGGGTGAAGAAGAGTCATACACAGTATGTGGATAAGTAAATAAATACAGTTGTTGGTGATTGAAAAACTAGCTTGAAATATTGTTAGAGCCAACAATTTTTTTCTATTTCCCTGTTAGCATTGTTAGCTCAATGTTAGCCTCTAGCCTTCTTTACCGGATATTGGAGTAAAGCAAAAGATAACTTTGCATCTTAGGGTAAATATCTTCCTGGTTGCTTACTGGTTTACATCCTTTCCACAAGTCTGCTGCTTTTTTGTCGGTTGGTACCAGGTCTGCTCGGGTGCCAGGTCGACTAGGGGTCCTGCGTCTGCCGATGATGTCACACCACAGCTAATCTATTCGGCTTTGACACATAAGTTTTGAAAAGAATTTAGCCATTTTGTTAGTAAATTCTTGTTTCTTACCGCCTAAAAATTTTCTTTATACCTGTAGTTTGTTCATAAAATGCCATACTTTCTTTGCTTTTAAAGAGTGTTAAACTACATAAAACCAACATCAGGCTGCCAAAAAGCACAACAGTTCTTATACGGAAAATGTTTTTAATGTATTTACATAATTAGCAGCCATATCTGTTTGTATAAATGTGGCATTCCTCTGTCTATTTTGTGAGTTCTTATGTAAGTAAATATACTAATTGATTTGGCTGGTGTCGAACTACAAATGCCGGCTCAGAGTTTGACAGTGCAGACTTGGCAACCCCACAGGCTCAGATATGATTGGCTCTGAAACCAGGATGTAGAGAGAAATGACAAATGTAAACAAAACCTACGTCCCTCTTTGGCTTTTGTAAAAGGGGAAACAATGGCCTCCACCCAAATTCAAGTGTACACATACTAATGTGTATGCTAGTGAACAACCTAGGTCTCCACATTTGATCAGTTCAGAACCTCAGTCACTTCAGAAATGACATTAATGCTTGCACTCTGGCATTTGACCCAGTTATCGGTTGATATCTTGACACCCTGTACCCTCTGTATCTCCTTCACATCAGCCCTGGTTGCTATAAAAGACACAGACACTGACATAGTGAAGGTTGTAAATAATCCAGGATATTGTGGTGGGTTCAGAAAAACGCTGACTGGACTCTCCAATTTAACTTCTTTGAATAGATTATAATAGATCATACTTCTCATTCGAGAGAAAAAAGAACATCATCAGAAATATCCATCCATCCATTGTCTGAACCCGCTTGTCCATGGGGGGGGGGGGGGGGGGGGGGCTGGTGCCCATGTCCAGCGGTCACTGGGCAATCAGGCGGGGCACACCCTGGACAAAGTGCCAATCCATCGCAGGGCAACACAGAGACACACAGGACAAGCAATCATGCACACACACACTCACACCTAAGGATAATTTAGACAGACCAATCAACCTAACATTCATGTTTTTGGACTGTGGGAGGAAGCCGGAGTACCCGGAGAGAACCCACGCATGCACAGGGAGAACATGCAAACTCCATGCAGAAAGATCCCAGGCCGGGAAACCACTGCGCCACTGCGCAGCCCTCATCAGAAATATTTGCCAAAAATAAATTTTATAATTTTTGAGCATTTAAGAAGATAGGGGACAAAGTCCGTTTTTCAAATGCACATAAGTTTATATTTACAATTCTCAGAAAAAATCCAGTTTATGTTACATACTGAATCAACTGGAATAGAATAGAATAGAATAGAATAGAATAGAATAGAATAGTTAAACATCGTTTTCTAACTAAAAATCACCTGTTATTTAAGTGTGTATTTGATTCTTCCATCCACTAGGGGGCGCTGGCGCTTTGGTGACGTTGCTGCTCCGCCATCTACAACGAAAAGACTGAGCAGCCACAGGTTCGGTCTTTGGTGCGTCTGACCTGCTCCGGTGTAGACAGCTCAACGGTAAGATTCACTTTTCTTTACCGTCGTTTAAAGCTTCATGATTTAAAGCAGTTAGAGTTACGCGATCTGTAACGAGCCTAGCATGGCCCGGATATGGTCGACAGTCAGTTTTTGTGTTCTTTAGTGAAGCTGCAACACAAGATAAGGATTTATAAATGATTGTAGCCTACACTTTAACCACTTTAGTATAAAAATATACTTACTTTTTAGTGATAAAATCCAGTGGAGGTAAATATTGTAGTTTTTGAGCGCATGAGCACGCTTCCACGTGCTAAGCAGATGCTAACGTTAGCATGATAGCTGTGTGATGGATGATCACACAAGCAGCTCTTTAGAATGTGTGAACGTAGACTTGTGTTTCTGCCAGCCCCTTCTCTGAGGATGACCTGCACTGGGCTCTGAGTCTGCATGGAGACAGATGTGCCTCTTTGGCCCTGACAAGCCAAAGTTTCTGAGGAGAAAATACTTTTTTCTGTGGTTAAACGTGGTGGCTGTGACATTTTAGTAATTATTCATTTGTCTTTTCAGTTTGAAGTGAGCATCATAAATGAAACTGCGGCCCAGAAAGGTGGGTTACATCTGCTCTTCCTTTCATTTCAACCTGTTGACAAAAAGTTAACTCAAACCCCCACAAGTCCCTGAAAGCAGGAACATGAGGCTGTAATCATCATGCTGCCTGCCTGTAACTTTGAATAAGATTAGCAAATGTGTTTATTTAATACTAACTTAAATCGTTGAATATTTTTGACAGGTCGATATTATTTTTTTTACTTTAATTCCATATTTCATACAATCTGTACAAGAGGACATGTTTCAGCCACGTTGCATAAGCAGGATGATAAATGTAGCTTAAAGCAGTTAGAAATATTGTCTTGTTAGGGGTATATGGTTGGATCAGGCTTAAAGTTGAACATCTCTAGATGTTTTTATTTCTCTGATGATGACCTGCACTGGGCTCTGAGTCTGCATGGAGACAGATGTGCGTCTTTGGCCCTGACAAGCCAAAGTTTCTGATGAGAAATTACGTTTTATGTTTAGAAATAGATTATAGTAATTTTTTCATTTAAGTAATTCATTCTTTTGTCATTTCAGTTTGAAGTTCAAGTGAAAATAACAAAAAGGCAGATCTAGTAAGGTTGGTATTATCTAATTTTCCTTTTATTTTGACAAAAAGACTAAAACCAAAATCCCAGTTACCTTAGATGCACAGTTAGCAGACGTGTTTCTAAATGTCATACATGCACTCGTATTTCAATAGTGATTTGATCCCAACGAGGGACATCCTATTTCATCCACGATATTTTCTTTTCTGTTGTGTTTGAGTACATAATTGGATCACTCTATAGGTGTATTATTTTTCCTCTGACCTGCACTGGGCTCTGGGTGTGTATGGAGACAGATGTACATCTTTGGCCCCAACAAGCCAAACTTTCTGAGAAGGAAGTAACTTTAGTGCTTCAAAACGAATAAGGCTCCCATCTAATAACACAACTCTCTTTGCAGATCATTTATGAAGTGAAACCAAACGACTAAACTTTAATCAGGTCAGTTCCTCGTGTCCTGCTCATTTATAACTGGTAATGTATGGTAATGCTGCTTTGGAGTCAGACCAGAATGTAGTGGCAGGAGTATAATTATGTCCTTGAGAAAGTGTTGTGTGAATAAATTAAAGCCATAATGTATATATTTTTGTTTTGTTTTAATGGATAGTGGTAAGATTTTGCTGACTGGTGTTTATTTATTTATGTTTTCTCAGGTGATCTTCCTTCACAGCTTATTTCATGTTCTGCCCAGGTGGAATGTTGTTTTCCTTTTGAAAATAAACTGGCCCTAAAAAGCTGTTGTCTGGATTTAACTAGGCAAGTGGGTATGAGCCTCCTCTTACGGTGCGACTTATCGGGTTATAGATTTAATTTTTGGTGGGCTTTCAATTTAAATTGGTATTAGACATTTTCTGTGATAACTTGTAACTCTCGCATCAGACTGTAGAATTTAACTAACTATAAATGTACATATTTATGAGTTTATGTATTTTATAATAAACATTTAAACCAAAATATTGAATGTTTATTTTTGGAACTACTCATTCACAGGGTTCCCACGCGTCCTGGAAAACCTGGAAAATGATAGTCCAATTTTCCAGTCATGGAAAACACATGGAAAATGGGGGGAATTGCAAAATGTCCTGGAAATTTTTGAGTTGTCCTGGAAAATAATTTTCCCTCCTTGTGGATAAACAAAAGGATTATTGGGCAATATTGGGCTGCAGCGCTTCTCCTTTCATTTCTGCATCTAGCTGGCACAGTGCCCCACATGATGCTTCCAACCAATCAGATTGCATATTCCCCTTCAGTTCCAGTTCCACTTCTGTTTTTCTAACTGTCTTTTTTGCTAGATTCACAGATTTTTCACCCCCTAGATTTATTTCCCCAAAGAAGGGCCCAAAGTAGCGACTCGGTTCACGAGTATTGCTTTATTGCAGTTTATAGAGAGAGGTTTTTCTCCTCTCTGTTGAGTGACAAAGGAGCAGCGGAGAGCTTTTGTTTTTTTCACTCTGCATTGAGACGAGCGAACCTGACGAGAGCTTCAGGATAGCAACGGATAGCAGGTAGTCTACTGGACCCGCGCTCCACTCAGTAATTCATACTAGTTCTAACGTCCGACAGCAGAAACAAAAATATGTGAATGAGAAAAATGTCATGAATTTGATTCTATCAAAAATACTAAGTATGTGCTCAGAGGACAGAGCCTCAGCTGTTCATACTGTTTTTAGCTAGCTACACAGACCGCAGCCAGGAGGCAGTGAGAACTGAAGACTGGCATGGTCGTTTGAACAAACTTGTTAACGTAATTAAATTGAATTCAACACGGCTAAATTAATAACTAGAATGATTTTAAGTGGTAACTATATATTTATCATAGTAATGCTACGTACAGTCCAGACTAAAAAAGTAGCAAACAACTACAAGTACTTATCTCTGAGGTAGAAAAAAAAAATTTTCTCAGGTCCAATATGTCTGTGGTGTTAGCGGGAGATATTAGCCTAGTCATCTACCCTGAATCTTGTTTCTGGATGACTGGACTAACCTAAAATGACCAATACTGGAACAACAAAATGCAGTTTAACATCCAACTAAGTGAAATAAGCAGTAAAGTGTAATGTGTGTACAGTAAGTATAATACATAGAATATGAAAGATATGAAAGAGCTAAGGTTTGAAAAGCAGGCCTAATTTATTGAATAAACAGTCAATATAAACAGTAACAATCTTTCAAAATATGTCTTTGTGTCCTTAGGCAGGAGAGTGTGATGTCAGGAAGACGGTGCAAATTCAAAACTTTTCAAAACTGGCTTTTTGCTAGCCCCAAGACTCTGCCTGTGTGTTGGGGTTTACCCCGGGGGACGAGAGGGTAGCTTCCCTGCGCCTTCGGGTCGGGGAACGGGTCCTGACTGTTGTTTGCGCTTATGGGCTAAATATCAGTTCAGAGTACCCACCCTTTTTGGAGTCCCTGGGATGAGTGCTAGATAGTGCTCCATCAGGGAACTCCATTGTCCTACTGGGGGACTTCAATGCTCACGTGGGCAATGACAGCATGACCTGGAGGGGTGTGATTGGAAGGAACGGCCCGCCTGATCTGAACTCGAGTGGTGTTTCATTATTGGACTTCTGTGCAAGCCGCAGTTTGGCCATAACGAACACCATGTTCGAACATACAGGTGCTGGCCAGTAAATTAGAATATCATCAAAAGGTTGAAAATATTTCAGTAATTCCATTCAAAACGTGAAACTTGTACATTATATTCATGCAATGCACACAGACCAATGTATTTCCAATGTTCATTACATTTAAATTTGATATTCATAAGTGACAACTAATGAAAACTCCAAATTTGGTATCTCAAAAAATTAGAATATTCTGAAAAGGCTGAATATAGAAGACACCTGCTGCCACTCTAATCAGCTGATTTACTCAAAACACCTGCAAAGGCCTTTAAAAGGTCCCTCAGTCTTGTTTTGAAGGCACCACAATCATGGGGAAGACTTCTGACTTAACAGCTGTCCAAAAGACAATCATTGACACCTTGCACAAGGAGGGCAAGACACAAAAGGTGATTGCTAAAGAAGCTGGCTGTTCGCAGAGCTCTGTGTCCAAGCACATTAACAGACAGGCGAAGGGACGGAAAAAATGTGGTAGAAAAAAGTGTACAAGCTCTAGGGATAACCGCACCCTGCAGAGAATTGTGACGACAAACCCATTCAAAAATGTGGGGGAGATCCACAAAGAGTGGACTGCAGCTGGAGTCAGCGCTTCAAGAACCACCACGAGGAGACTCATGAAAGACATGGGATTCAGGTGTCGCATTCCGTGTGTCAAGCCACTCTTGAACAAGAAACAGCGCAAGAAGCGTCTCGCCTGGGCCAAGGACAAAAAGGACTGGACTGATGCTGAGTGGTCCAAAGTTATGTTTTCTGATGAAAACAAGTTCTGCAATTCCTTTGGAAATCAAGGACCCAGAGTCTGGAGGAAGAGCGGAGAAGCACAGAATCCACGTTGCATGAGGTCCAGTGTAAAGTTTCCACCGTCAGTGATGGTGTGGGGTGCCATGTCATCTGCCGGTGTTGGCCCACTCTGTTTCCTGAGGTCCAGGGTCAATGCAGCCGTCTACCAGGAAGTTTTAGAGCACTTCATGCTTCCTGCTGCTGACCAACTTTATGGGGATGCAGACTTCACCTTTCAACAGGACTTGGCACCTGCACACAGTGCCAAAACCACCAGCACCTGGTTCAAGGACCATGGTATCCCTGTTCTTGATTGGCCAGCAAACTCGCCTGACCTTAACCCCATAGAAAATCTATGGGGTATTGTGAAGCGGAGGATGCAATACGCTAGACCCAACAATGCAGAGGAGCTGAAGACGACTATTAGAGCAACCTGGGCTCTCATAACACCTGAGCAGTGCCACAGACTGATCGAGTCCATGCCACGCCGCATTACTGCAGTTATTGAGGCAAAAGGAGCCCCGACTAAGTATTGAGTGCTATACATGCACATTCTTTTCATGTTCATTCTTTTCAGTTGGCCAACATTAGAGAAACAAACATTTTTTCATTGGCCTTTAGAATATTCTAATTTTCTGAGATACCAGATTTGATGTTTTCATTGGTTGTCACCTATAAATATCAAAATTAAACGTAATAAACATCAGAAATACATTGGTCTGTGTGCATTGCATGAATATAATGTACAAGTTTCATGTTTTGAATGGAATTACTGAAATATTTTCAACCTTTTGATGATATTCTAATTTACTGGCCAGCACCTGTAAGGATGCCCATCGGTACACTTGGTACCAGGGCAGCCTAGGTCGCAGGTCGATGATAGACGTTGTAGTCTTATCATCTGACCTACGGCCGTATGTTTTGGACACCCGAGTGAAGAGAGGAGCGGAGCTGTCAACTGATCACCACCTGGTGGTGAGTTTGATCAGATGGCAGGGGAAGATGCTACATAGACCTGGCAGACCCATATGCATAGTGAGTGTCTGCTGGGAACGCCTGGCAGAAGAACCTGTCAAGACGGTCTTCAATTCCCATCTCCGGCAGAGCTTTGACCACGTCCTGAGAGCAGTGGGGGACATTGACTCCGAGTGGGCCTTGTTCCACTCTGCGATTGTTGAGGCGGCTGCTGTTAGCTGTGGTTGCAAGGTGGCCGGTGCCAGTCATGGTGGCAACCCCCGTACCCGCTGGTGGACACCAGAGGTTCGGGGAGCCGTCAGGCTGAAGAAGGAGGTCTACAAGGCGTGGCTGGTCTGTGGGTCTCCGGAGACAGCAGACAGGTTCCGGATATCCAAGCGGGGTGCAGCAGTGGCAGTTGCCAAGGCAAAATCTCGGGCGTGGGAGGAGTTTGGTGAGGCCATGGAGAAAGACTATCGATCGGCTCCAAAGAGGTTCTGGCAAACTGTCCGGCGCCTCAGGAGAGGAAGGCAGCAACTCGCTCACACTGTTTACAGTGAGGATGGGGAGCTGCTGACGTCAACTGGGGCTATAGTTGGACTTTGGAAGGAATACTTAGAGGAGCTCCTCAATCCCTCCTACGCGCATTCCGAGGAGGAACCAGAGCCAGGAGACCTGGAGATGGACTGTCCAATCTCAGGGGCAGAAGTTGCTGAGGTAGTCAAACAACTACACAGCGGCAGAGCCCCGGGGTGGATGAGATTCGTCCTGGGTATCTCAAGGCTATGGATGTTGTAGGGCTGTCGTGGTTGACAAGTCTCTGCAACATTGCGTGGTAATCAGGGGCAGTTCCTGTGGAGTGGCAGACTGGGGTGGTGGTCCCCATCTTTTAGAAGGGTGACCTGAGGGTGTGTTCCAACTATAGGGGGATCACACTCATAAGCCTCCCTGGAAAAGTCTACTCCAAGGTACTGGAGAGGAGGGTCCGATCGATAGTTGAATCTTAGATTGAGGAGGAGCAGTGTGGTTTTCGTCCTGGCTGTGGAACTGTGGACCAGCTCTATACTCTTGCAAGGGTGATGGAGAGGGCATGGGAGTTTGCCCAACCAATCCACATATGTTTTGTGGATTTGGAGAAGGCTTATGACCGTGTCCCCAGGGGCTCTCTGTGGGGGACGCTCCAGGAGTATGGGGTGGGTGGCTTACTGTTAAGGACCATTCAGTCCCTTTACCAGAGGAGCGTAAGTTAGGTCCACATAGCTGGTAGTAAGTTGGACCTGTTCCCGGTGAGGGTTGGACTCCGCCAGGGCTGCCCTTTGTCACCGGTTCTGTTCATTACCTTTATGGACAGAATTTCTAGGCGCAGCCATGGTGTGGAGTGTGTCGCAGGAGAATCTTGTCTTTGCTTTTTGCGGATGATGTGGTCCTCCTAGCTTCATCCAGCTCTGACCTTCAGCTCTTGCTGGGTAGGTTTGCGGCTGAGTGTGAAGCGGCTGGGATGAGGATCAGCACCTCCAAATCTGAGACCATGGTTCTCAACCGGAAAAGGGTGGCTTGCCAACTCCAGGTCGGGAGAGAGGTCCTACCTCAAGTGGAGGAGTTTAAGTATCTTGGGGTTTTGTTCACAAGTGAGGGTAGGAGGGATCGGGAGATTGACAGGCGGATTGGTTCAGCATCTGCAGTGATGCGGACGTTGAGCCGATCTGTCGTGGTGAAGAGGGAGCTGAGCCAGAAAGCCAGGCTCTCGATTTACCGGTCAATCTACGTCCCAATCCTCACCTATGGTCATGAGCTTTGGGTAATAAACGAAAGAACGAGATCGCGGATACAAGTTGCCGAAATGAGTTTCCTCCATAGAGTGGTCGGGCTCAGCCTTAGAGATAGGGTGAGGAGCTCGTACATTCGGGAGGGACTCGGAGTAGAACTGCTGCGCCTCCGGATCGAAAGGAGTCAGTTGAGGTGGTTTGGGCATCTGGTCAGGATGCCTCCTGGACGCCTCCCTGGGGAGGAGTTTCGGGCATGTCCTGCCGGCAGGAGGCCCCCGGGTCGACCCAGGACACGTTGGAGAGGTTACGTCTCCAATCTGGTCCGGGAACGCCTTGGGGTCCTGCCGGAGGAGCTGGTGGAGGTGGCCGGGGAGAGGACGGTCTGGAGCTCCCTAGTTGGGATGCTGCCCCCGCGACCCGGATAAGCGGAGGAAGATGACGACAATTTCAATCAGCACAGTGAATTAACCTGGTTCAGTTGCTGAGCATATCAAAAACATGACATGGAGATGACTTGATGATGCCACAATGTCACATCTCTGGTATGAACTAAAGTAGAGAATAACTTCTGTTTTAGTTGTGTTGCATTGTAAGTAGAGGAAAGCAGGTGGGATTGTGAAAGACAAAAATCTTTCCACAACTATATTGTCAAAATAACGGTATAGGTAGGTACAATATCATATATGTGTCTAAATATATCGGGATATCGGCAAACCGTAGTTATGATAACTTGACTTGTACACTGAAAAAGTCTTGAAAATGTCCTGGAAAAGTCCTGGAAAATAATTTCAAGAAAAGAGTGGGAACCCTGATTCATTCATCCACGAGATGGCAGCGATGTGCATGTTTACAAGATGCGAGGTCCCTCCAGTCATAGACGTGTATATAAACATTTATACATGTCCATGCCTCAAGCCACCACCTGCAGTAAATGAGTGTGAAGCGTCTTGCCCAAGGACAAAACTGCGGCAGACTGAGCAGGTCTCGAACCTGCAGCCCCCAGTTGCGGGCGTACACTTTCACCATCATTTTATCATCCTTTGCACATGTGTACAGATTGACTTTGTACTTGTTTAAGACAGCTCACAAACTTAACTCCTGGTGCTGCCCAGGTACAAAGTGTAAAATACATCTAAACTTTTGTCTAAATTGTTGCATCTTGAGGGTCCAACGTAATTTAAGTGGGACTCAGGGTATCTGCAGGTCCTTAAAGTCTTAAATTTGCTTTTCTAAATTTAAGGCCTTAAAAATCCTTAAAAATGACAAATAATCCTTGAATAGTTTCCAAAGGTCTTAAATTACCAAAGACCCAATAAACAAGATTCTTTTATTTCTATAAAATTTTCGTGAATTTCTAGTTAGTTCAGCATTTTTTGTGTATGATATTGGCGTAAGCGGAACCGTACACATTCAGTTGGTTTGTGAAAGGGGGCTATTTTTAGATGAGCACGCTAGTGGGAGTTTGCGCCATGGGGAAGACATGGCAACATTAATGGTAACTGGATGGCTAATCCCACATTCATGACGTGGTTAGCACCGGTTCCAGGCAATAGCTGGAAATTATAGCTTAAATTTAATTTAAAAAAAAAAGCTTAAATTTGGTCAAAGTGGCCTTAAAAAAGGTCTTAAAACGTCTTAAATTTGGCTCCCAGATACCCTGGGGACTGAGCAGTCTGGTCTTTCTTAATGCACAGAGTGAGCTAATTAAAAAAATCAGATTAAATAATTTCTCCCTCCATGTGGATTAATTCAAACAGCAGCTTTTCTTTAACTCCAGAATTCACCAGCAGATGGCACCACTCAGGATCTTTTACACTTGTGTCCAGATGTAGTAGAGATGCATGCAGTCACAGCTGGATGAATCCTCCAGATGCTTCCTGCACTCCTCAAATGTGAATGATTTTAAAATCTAGCTTTGCATTAGGGAGGCTGGGATTGTCCTGTCATCCACCGGAGCTACATGCAGGAGATGTGGACTCTGCTGCCCTCCGTTTCCATCCAGCAACTAAATGTGGATTTTTACGATCATTCATTCAAAGCAGATGAAAGTTTGACCCTTTAATTCTGGATTTAATGACATGTAGATGTGTAGAACTGACTGAATCAGGAAATCATTCTAGTGATGATTGTTGCTTTGGACATTACTTGATATCTCAGCCTCCTGCAGAAAGTTTCTAATCATACCCTAGAGGTCCGCATTCACTGTATTGTGGCTGGAATTCATCAGAAGCCACACAAGGTTGTAAAAGTCTTACAAGTGCTAGTCATGCAAATAATTCCATTCAAAAGTGAACTTTTTAATTGGATTCATTGATCACACACAGGCTGATATATTTGAAGAGTTTATATAATTTTGATGCTTATATCTGACAACTAATGCAAATTCCACATTCAGTATTCTGGTGAAGGTCATCCAGGTCATGGTGATCCAAAAGGGTTCAAATGAAGGCAACTGGACTTCTTTGGTTTCTTGAAGACGTTTCGCTTCTCATCCGAGGAGCTTTGTCCTTTCTAACGTGTTGATTAGATGCATGAAGGTGTGAACTAGACTGAAACTGTTTAGGAATGAGATTCAAAGCTGCATTATAGGTACAGGAAAGGTGAAATCTAAGCCCCCCGTCCAGTCTGGTAGCCTTCATTTGAACCCTTTGGATCACATTCAGTATCTCAGAATATTAGAATATTGTAAAAAGGTTCCTGAAGACCCCGGTGCCACAGTAATCGGCTAACTCAAAACCGCTGCAGAAGCCTTTAAATGGTCTCAGTCTAGTTCTGCAGGCTACACAATCATGGGGAAGATCCTGAATTTGGGATTTTCATTAGTGTAAGTTATAATCATCAATATTTGTGTGTGTAACGAATAAAAATCTAAGATCAAATTTCACTTTTTGAATTCCTGAAATAAACTCATGATTTTCTAATTTAATGAGCTGCACATGTTTCTAAGATGCACCGTAGACTGATGAAGGGTGTGAAGTATCAGTGCGGGGACTCTTGAGTCTGCTTTACCCATGAAATGGTTTAAGGACCATAAACCTTTGAGTTCAGAGCAGTTTACTGGGTTGAAGAGAAATGTAAACAACTGTATTTGGGTAAAAATAAATAAAAAATCACAAAGAACTTATTTCTGCATGTTTATTATAATTCTAACAATTTAATCTCTTAAAACATTTGAAATTCATATAGGTTTTTATATGAATGTGCGTATATGTGTAACACATATACATATATATATTCTAAGTTATCTTTCATCCGTTCATATTCTCATTTTTAAAAGAATCCTTAAAGGAAAAGAAATGCTTTCTATAGAGTTGGACGAATTCCCCCAGTCGCTTTTGTCTTTAACAGCATCTCAGAAATGCTGAAAGCAGGAAATGATTCAGAACCGTTAGTCACGAATCACTTAAGATTTTCACCTGAAAACCTTCCATGGACTCGATAAACGATTCTGCGGCCGATTTCATTACAGTCATCCAAACGTCAACATCTCTGAAGGGAGATGTAGCGAGCTGCTAACGAGACCTCTGCATGGTGTGCTGGTAACCGTTAGCCTAGTGAACTAGACCAAATTCTTGCTAAATAATGCATTTATTTAGTCTGGCTTGCCAGGCTAGGTAACCGTGACTGATTCATCATCACCAGAACACGAGAGCTGCTCTGTTCAGACCAGACCAATGGAGCAGAAGATGCAGAGAGCGAGTCAAACTGCATAGAAAGCAGAACAGTTAAATAAATACATCGTACCTTTTCTGATGAACGTTATTTGGAAGACAGAGATTCTTAAAAACGTTTGACTTTTGTAACACCTTAAACCAGGTTTAGATTACCATTATTTTCATCGTCCTTATTGCTATTCACCTTTGCATTCTAATAAAATCTCTTCTCATCCATCAGCGGGCAGAAAATACACAAACTAATCTCTTCAGTCACCTTTGCCGAATCCCGTTGCTAGCGTGTGCACTTTGAGCAACAGGATGTATGAAATCTCTTCTTTGTTTTGCAAAAATAGACTGAAGGAGGATGGAGCAAAGATGCGAGAATGCACATTTGATAACGCTCTGTGTTCTTGGACTCGAAAAGCAGCAGGAGAGGTGGCGCACTGGTCAAGGTAGAGACGTCACGAGAGAGCCCTTATATTTAATCTCAGCCAGGTAAGACAGTTAGTGTGATGAGCGGTGGGTTGGTGACGGGGGGGCTGGCTCGTACGCAGGATTAGACAATATGAGACCTCACAGGAAGCTATTCAATAAAAAGCTTTTCCTGCAGATATGTCTGCGGCAGGGTGCTACATTTGTACAGCGACTGAACAACATCTGGTGGTAACTGAAGTTTCATAGGAGCAATGAAAGGATACTCAGAGGCTTGGACTGATAACATGTAATCAAAGAAAGCTGGACGATAAAGGAAAACTTTCAAAATGTGCTTCACATTTAGTCGCAAGGCTCCTTGTCACATAGAAACCGTGTATAGGGCACAGCATGCGTTTGTCAATTTAAAAATATCTCTCATTTACATTTCTGTGTTTATAAGCAGAAGGATTATCTTCAGTACGCGGTCCAAACCGCCATCCGGGGCAGAACCCGGGACCTTCTGAGACCACAATAACAGTAAGGACGATGATAGTAACGATGAGTAGTTACAGTAAATCTCTCCGTAATACCAATAATTGCAGTGTTCCCGTTTAAAGTTTAAAAACCGTAAGAACAGAGTATTAAAATTCAATGTAAGCATTTCTCTTGGATCTCAGCAGTTGCCTCCTGGATTTCGTCGGGGGAGAAAGGCCACTCGAAGGGGGAGGATTGGGTGGGAAAGAACAAGAAAATGGCAGTTTTTACTCTCCCCCTCCCCTCTCCCTTTCCCGTCTCCCTCGTGCAGAAGGTCTTTGTGAATGCACAGCATCTGCCGCCACGCCGGAGCAGTCTTTCTCTGTAAATAAAATCCTTTGAGAGATTTATCCCCCCACACTGTCCCAGGTAACAGTTGAAAGCACAATCTGTCTTCTTTTGTGTGTTTGAGTACATCTTTGATCCGAACATGATCCGCGTGTCTATATAGGAGGTGTTAGATGAATCCTGACACAAACACAGAGTGCTTGTGTTCATCTACATGGTGGTGTGTGCATGCAGGCGTGAGTAGTAGTAACTGGGGAGCCCGCGTGGGCATGTCCGTGTTGTTGTTCCTTTACTCTGTTATGTTGTAGGTCTGGGCACTTACTTTTGCTACAGATTTGTGATACAGTGACCAGTCTGTATGCTTGTCATTATAAGACTTAAGATGATGAAGAGATTAATGGAAACGCACCTGATCCCTTTGGAAGGAGCCCCACTTGTGATGAGGTAAAAACCAGACTGATCCGAGTCAAACACGCAGCAAGGACACCAACCACCCACCCACCCGCTCCCCCGTCCACTCTAAAGGACGTCGAAGCAGTCCAGATTTACTGCTGCGTCCTACATCGACCACGCACACCAATAAAGCCTCGCTTCTGCACACAATCGCTCAAAGAAGACTAAACTCTCGCTCTGATTCACAAACATGTCTGAAAGCTACCGCAGAAAAGCTTGTTACTGATTGCACTCTTACACCCGACCAGCGGCAGCTCGGTGGGATGGCGCCACGTCCCGACGAACTAAATCACCTAACTGTTTGCATCTATTTGATGTATTTAAACTGCTGCTGCAGCCATGGAGTCGCCAAGCACACGGTGGGTGAGAGGGTGTTTCTCTGGCTGTGCATGCATGTATGGGGTGTACTTGTGTAACAGCCTGCCACAACCAGGGAGCATCAGCCGGTGTCTTTATGGCTCGTCACCCTGATGTCTCCGCCTTTCTTTGGGACTCGACTCCCCCGTTCTGTTGCTTTCTGTGTGAAAATCCGCTTTCCCCTCATTTGTGTGAGTTCACCAAGAACAGCAGCAGTTGTGTTTTCCTCCCTCACTGACTTCCAACCCTCCTCCGTTTTTCTCCGTCTCTCCTCATGCGGGTCTGTTTCAGCAGCCTCAGCTTCGGCTGCCATCGTCCCTCCTCCTGTCGGCTTGTCCGTCCCGCGGTGAGAGGACAGAGATGGGAAACGGGCTGCTGGACAACCTGAGGACAAAGCAACAAACAAAGGGACGCAAGTGATGCTTGGAGCTTTTTCAGAGGATTAAGAATCAAGTTTTTCTATTGGAACTTTTCTGTTTTATGATCGAAACGTTTTAAAATGGAATTTTCTGTTCAGCTTTTATTCAGTTACTAAAAGAAGGGGGGCATTTCGACGCAATACAGAACGAGGGAGCTGTTTGTCCGTAAAAGGGTTTTTCCCATTTAAGCACAAAAATTGTTTAATCTTAATACTTAATAGGATGTTAATGTCATATTTGTGGCAAGGTGGAGAAACGAGCGTCCGGGCGGGAGTTGATCCCCAGACCTCCGGGTGAAAGTCACGCCAACCAGTCAGCCAAAGGGGCATCACCGTGGCCAAGCAGCCAGGGCGCATGATCAGTTGGGATACAGTGACAGGACGCTCACACATATCATTCCAACTTCAGGCAAATTTCTTATCTGATCTGATCTACAACATCATTCAAAGGAGGGAATGGATTTCTCCGGGGGGGGGGGGGGGGGGGGGGGGGGCACCTGTATCAGCACAGAGAAATCAGCTGGAGAAGAAAGTGGCTTCAGACAGCTGGACTTGGACACTTATTTCCTGATATTTGGACATCTCTCCTCTGATTGGCTGACAGCAGTGTGACTCTACCACTGACTCTGTTTGCTCTTTAACGCTGATGTTTTATCTCCACAAATAACACAAGCCCAGAGGTGTTCTGCCATGTGGTGCAGTTGCTAATGGCGACGGCTAGCTTCTGGTAGCTGAGACATTCTATGCTGATTCCTGGACGCTAAACCAGCAACAGCCTTACCCGTCGTGAGTCAAGATGGGCGAATCCATGAACTTTAATAGGGGTTTCACATCTGCTACCGCTCGGCCCGGCCCACAATATTTTCATACCTCGGTGACCGGGCGATTTTTCGGCCCTTACCCTCCGGGCTGGCCCGGGCCAACACGCCCACTACGACTGATTGGCCGGCTCAAATACACATCTACTGGTAGTGGGAGCCTCCGATTGGCGAATGCAATCAACCAATGGGGGGCTTCATGCATGCGCAATTCATTATCATTCATTATCGTTGTGGACTGAAGTTGCGGCAGCTCTCTGTCTTTTTTTCTCACTAATGTGAGAACACCCCCGACTGAGAGAGGTGGTTTTGTCCAATCATCATTCCGACTGGCGTCCATGTACACATCCATTTGAATTGTTGGAGTCAAATAATGCCCACTGCGCATGTGTGCAACTTCAGCGTGACGTCTTTCCGCCTTTGCAGATGCTCAGGACAAGTCTGAGGAGCTGGAGGACAGTGTGAGCGGGTGATCATTAGAACGTTATCCTGCTCTCCTCTCCTGTGGCGGAGTAGAAGTAGCATTGCGTACTACTGAGCCTGTAGCTTAGTTAAAGCGATCAGTAAAAACAAAAGCATAGACGAGAGGGGAAAGACGTGCGGTCAAGACGATGTTGGTTTACAGTTCTTTTTCTCTGGAAAGACAACTCTGTGCATGCCCAACCTATTTAAGCTGACTGCCTGGTGTCTGTATACTCACGGCATGATCGGATCATTTCAGTTAGTGTCCATTTAAATAGAGATTTGGATTTCTGATCAATCAAAATTTGAATCGGATAGAGGAAATTTGGTGCATGTAAACGTAGCTAATGTGATTTAGATCTGTCAGGCTTTTCAAATGCTGGCGTTTCATCTCCTCTTTTCTATCAGAGCTAATACAGGACATAGGCGTAGGAGGCTGTTATCGTGTTCAGCCTGCATGAAAAACTCAGTGATTATGATCAGAAATACTCATGTATTTCCAAATAGTGTCCAAATCCTGCAGAAATACCCTTCCACTGTCTTTATGGGTGTGACCCCGCGAGTAAAGTTGACCATTGGGCAGGATTGATGGTTTATCCCTTGGGTCCACGTGGCAGGGGTGAGGAGTTAGCACCACCTCACCCCTGCCACGTGGACCTCAGGGGATAAACCATCAATCCTGCCCAATGGTCAACTTTCCTCGTGGGGTCACACCCATAAAGACAGTGGGAGGGTTAAAGATGGTTTTTCTGTGTTCCACACCTTTAACAAAATATCACGCATTTAATAAAATGCATCCTAGAAAAAGAATTCTGGCATTATAAAGTGATTAAAAACACAAGACTGAACATGTGTTTAATGTGGCATGGAAGACAGTAAAGGCTTCTATGTTGTAATTTCTCTAAATTAACCAACATGTCTAGTCTCACCTGTCTATTATGCTCCTCAAGGCCCGTTCAATATTCATACGGTGGCCCACTCGCGTCACACCCAAATCCAAATAATCGTCCTTGGTCAGCGAGGGTAAGTGGGTTCCATCGATTTCGTTGTCCAGAAAGCGTTCCCTGTGCTCCCCCAGGTTCAGGTATGCCAGCCAGTCTGCAACATCGTACTTGGTCCAGTAGGGCAGCGGCTTGGAGGCGAAAGGCTTTGTTGGAGACGGGGGAGGTAAGTGGGGGTAGCTCAAACAAGTAGGTGGTGGGAGAGGGTGCAGGGGGGGAGAAGATGTCCCAGACAGGAAATGAGTTGGAGAAAGTGATCGAGACACGACTAGGGTAGAGTTTGGGGGAGGTGGGGCACCAGACGGGGCAAACAGAGGAGGAGATGGGGAGAAGTACGGGTCTCCGAGGGGGTTTCCTGATGAAGGTGGGGTGATTGACCCGCGGAGGTCGTACATGGCACTGTATAGAGGGGAGGTAGGGAGAAGCGGGAGTGACGATGGACGTGGTGGGCCCATCTTGGGTCTCTCTGACTGGGATATGAGGGGACTGGGAGCTCGCCTGCGCTGGAGCATGTGTGATTCTGCTTTGCGGGACTCTCGACTGGGAATAAACTGGAATTCCAGGGCTTTGGTCCGGTAGACAGGTCTGTGCTTGGGAGATGTGGGGTAAGGGGAATAAGATGTTGGGGACAATGGGGAATGAGAACGTGGAGGTTGGGAGGCTGCTGAAGGCTGAGGTGATGGGGATCGTCCCCAATTGGGATACTGGGAGGCAGGAGTGGGGGAAGGAGATAAAGATGGCTGCGATAAGGAGATGGGAGACTGTGACTGAGAGCGGACTGAGGGGGGGCTCAGAGCAGAGGCTGAATCTTCAGAAAATCTGTAAAAACAAGAGTGAAAAGTAACCAGAAGTTACCCAAAGAAATCTGAATCACAGCTATTCTCAGTTTTTTCATGTAATTCTCAGGTGATAAATGATGCTTTTGTTCCGTAAATGTAAAACCCTTCTGACTCTGAATGCAGCACCCTCTCTGAAAACAGCGCACATCTGAGGTTGTGGTTGGGATGGAAGTGAGTCTTTGTCTCAAGCAGGAGAGATCAAGTGTCCAGTTTTGAGACACTAAGATGAAGCTAGAAGATGGACGGACGGATCTGCAGTAATGAGGGCCTTGCTCTAACAGTCTGACTTTGCTCCAACCCTCAACTTCAGCCATGGGATCAAAAGAACAAGATCCTGGATTAGAGCAGCTGAAAATCACCGGGCTCAGCCTGAGGGGAGGAGCTCCGTCATCCAAGAGGAGCAAAAAGTCAAGCTGAGTCTTCTCCCTTTGGAGGTTTTCTCAATATTTCTTACAGAATAACTGCAGGAAAGACTCTGATATGAAAAAGCCTTTGACTTGAAAATTCATATGGCTCCCCCAGATTGCAGCAGATTGTATTTTAGGAGAGGGATGCCAGACGTCTCCTTTGGACCTGGTGTTTCTGCAGCACAAGCTTGGATGACTGAAGGAGGGTGGTTGTGTGGATGGATGACTGGCTAGATCAGGGGTCTGCAACCAGTGGCTCTGGAGCCACAAGCGGCCTTATGGACCTGCCCCATCCATTGTCTTCGAAATGCGTCGGGTCGCAGGCAGCAGCTATAGAAGTGCCTGGGAAACCTCATCAGAGAAACGTCCAGGAGGCATCCTGATCAGATACCCGAGCCAGCTCAACTGGCTCCTCTCAATGTGGAAGAGCAGCAGATCTACTCCGAGCCCCTCCCGGACGACTGAGCTTCTCACCCTATCTATAAGGGAGAGCCCAGCCACTCTGTGAAGACAAATAATTGTGGCCGCTTGTATCAGTGATCTTGTTCTTTTGGTCACCTTCCAAAGCTCGTAATACATGAGGGTAGGAACGTAGATCGACCGGTAAATCGAGAGCTTCTCTTTCAGACTCTCTTCACCATGACAGAGCAGTACACTGCTAGCATCTCTGCAAATGCAGCACCAATCCGCCTGTCAATCTCATGTTCCACTTGTCCCTCACTTGTAAACAAGACCCTGAGATACTTCAACTCCTCCACATTGACTAGTACCTCGTCCCTGACCTGAAGAAGGCATCCTACCCATTTCCAACTCAAGACCACGGTCTGAGATTAAAAAAAAAGAAAAACTAAATCATGTTTTAAAGAAATAAATGATTAAAAATGCAGCTTTAAGCACCTTTTTATGGAACTATTGCATTAAATTTCACTGGATGACACAGAAAATGTTTTAGATGTATTTTTTATGTAATTTTCTGCTAACAACATCCCATAGGGGAAACTCTTTTTGCAAAAGTTTTGATAGTTTTCATCATTTTAAAATTTTTAGTAGAAACTAAATGGTGTTTTTCAAAGTGACTTCAGATCTTTTATTTACAGAAGAGGAAAAAAAATCTGACTTTAACCCTCCCACTGTCTTTGTGGGTGACCCCGCGGTTGATGGTCTATCCCTTGAGGTCCACGTGGCAGGGGTGAGGTGGACCTGTCATGTGGACCCAAGGGATAGACCATCAACCCTGCTCAATGGTCAACTTTCCTCGCGGGGTCACAACCATTAGGACAGTGGGAGGGTTAATCTAGAAAATGTCAGAATCCTTCATTTAATCTCAACTCTGAATTTTTTCTCAAATTCCAACATTATTCTCAAAACTCGGAGAAAAACACAAGGACCTTCACCGTTCTTAGAAATCTATCAAGAAGTATAAATAGTCTTAACTCCAACGGATCTGCGAGTGTTCTGAGTGGCACTAAACAGGTTTTATTCCGGAGGGCTGAAGAGAGGAAACAGCTCTGTGGATTGTAAAAATTGCCGACTCACGCGCAAAAGGGAAAAAGGCGCTGTTTCCCTCAAAACTCCTGCTGTCCTTGGATCATGTAGAATAGTTTTATTCTTCCATTCTTACTGAGTTGTATCAGCATTAGAAAAGGAAGGTTCTTTCCACAACTTCACTGCATAACAACAAGCTGTTATCTGAAACGAGTTCGACTCAACATAACATTTGTTTTTCAGACATTTTTGCATTTTAGACAAAAGAAAAATCCAGAGAAGTAAATACAGATTCAGATACTACCGTACGTACAAAACACAGTCAACACCCTGTTCTCAGGAGGCTTGTATTTCACCTGAGGGAAGGACTCACTGGAGCCACACTGATGTTGCACTCGACCAAAACATCAATACAAAAACAATGTCAACAGTAACACGATGCTGTCAGGTGTACCTGTGTCTGCTCAGGGGTCTCTGGCTGCTCCAGCTTTCTTTGCTTCTCTGCTGCAGTTTGCTGCTCAGCTCGTTAATAATGCTGGGCTTCATGCTGGATGCAGGAGGGTGAATCTTCCTCCTCTCTAAAATGGACCCAGACTGGCTGCCATCACCGCTCACCTGGCTGTCTCCCCAGAGCGGCCTCATCTCAGGCGTGCGTGATCGATTAAAGTATGGAGACGTGGGGCGCCCCGCATTCTGCATGTCCCTGACACCATAACCGTCCTGGCCTCTGTCGTTAACACCTACTCTCTCCTCTACATCGTCGTCTTCCTGTTCGTCTCTCTGCCTGTGGGAGTGGTAGGATGAGGGGGCAGTGCTGGTCTGTCGGTGTAGATCTCCGGCTCGACTTCCCTCTCTGAACCTGCTGGTTTTTGGGTAGGTGGAAGCTGCTGCTGTCGCGTTCTGCATCTCAAAAGTTTGTCCATCCAGGTAGCTCATGTAAGACTCCAGAAAATCCCCCCCTCTTTCCATGTCCCCTGAGCCCCCTCCCATTCGACCTCCAGCTCCGACTCTTTCACCTCGATCTAGTCTCTCTCCCCGAATACCAGCCCCGCTTAGAGCCAGGATGCTGTCCAGATGATGATCACTGCTGCTGCGGCTGTCCAGCTCTTCGATCCCAGAGTCCACCACTGTCTCCTGGGACTCTCCTTTTTTGGCAGTGGGAGGGGCACGGTGGTGTTCCCCCATCCTGCCTACGATGGCGGTGGAGGTTGCTGAATGTGTGGTGTGAGTTCTCTCCTGATAGAGCTGAGTGGAGGTGCTTGTTGCGGTGGCAGAAGTGGTGGTCGTTGCAGCACAGCTAGCGGTCGTGGCATGGGAGGCAGTGGCTCTGTGTAGGGCAGAGGTGGCAGCAGAGGAAGAGGGAGCTTGCGGACCACGGTAGGATGGGGGAGGGGCAACTGTGTGTGACGGAGGCGTGGGTGAAGATCGTCCAGAAATGTGCATACTATTGTAAAGGTGGTGAGTCATGGAGAAGGGTCTGTGGTAGGCTCCTGACCCTGGAGGAGGTGGAGGGGAGACTGCTGGGGGAGGAGGAGGGCCAACGGTTGGTTGCAGGTTTGAGGGTGAGGAAGGGAGTGGAGGATTTGGGGAGGTCTGGGATGGGGAAGGAGCAGACTGAGTGAGGTTTGCCACCTCACTGTCATAAGACGTGAGGCTGGAGGCAGTGGAGTCCCCCGCCTGAGGGGAGTGCAGAGGTGTGTGAGCAGGAAACCCACCTATGAACTGTTCTTTCTGAGGGGGTGGAGGGGGTGGCGGTGGAGGCGGTGGAGGGGGTGGCGGAGGTGGAGGGGCAGGGGCTTGATGTTGACGAGGTCTCATGCTGTTGGGAAGCATCCCATGCTGGGAGTATCTTGATGTGCCTCTGTCGAAGCTATTAGCAAACTCTAAAGGCGGAGGGAGGGGTTCTGCATAGACAAATTCATCATCTGCGTCAACTGAAGGAGCGGGAGGAGGAAGGACCATCAAACCTGACCCGGTGCTGCCAGTAGCTGACACCTGCTGAGTACTGGCGGATGGAGGAGAAGGAGGTGTGAGGGATAAAATATAGGCATCAGCTTGACTCTCCATCCTGAGAAACGTAGGTCTCCGAGGCTGCTGGGCGCTGCTGTCAGCAGCCTGCTCTGTTCTCCTGATGTAACCCTCTCTCTCTTTATCCTTATCCCTTTCCCTTGAGAGTTCCCTCTCCCGCTCCCTTGACCTCTCTCGCTCCCGGTAGGTCGGCTGATATGGCTGAGACTGACAGTGGTGTGTGTGGACTGTTTTGTCCTCTGAGAAGCGGACCCTAAGACCCTCACGGGCCCCTCCTCCTTCACGCTCCCTTTCTCCTGCAACACCTTCTTCACTCCATGTACTCCCAACTCCTCGGAGGATTCTGGGTGAGGGTGGGCGACCAACAGTGGGTGTGGTTGCTGCCAGAGAGGAGGAGGTGACCAGGTAAGAGCTTGAGGCCTGTGCAGCAGACGATACCGGCTGAGAGGTGGAAGAAGACGAAGGGAACACCACACTGGACATCTGGCGGGTGAAGTGGTGCTCTGTTCCCCTCCGTACCCTGCTGTCGTCCCTTAGAGCCCGTTCTCTGGCAGCCAGGGCGAGGCCGAGTGGCGATGTGGGGTCAAGCGCCTTTCCTGTTAGAGGGTGAATGAAGGTGGTGTTGGTGGGGAGTGCTGGGTGTCTGTACAGATCAGTAGGCACAGACTTGGGCTGGTAGTCCAGGGCAGTTGATGAGTACTCTGGTAGCCCGAAGGCTGGAGGCATGCTCCGAGTGTGCTGGATGAAGGTGTCCCCAGAAAACATGCCCTCATCAATGGACTTAGAGGCGCGCAAACGTGCTGATGAACTTTCAGCCTGAGTGCTTAGCTGCTGCTGGGACACCTGAGTCCTTGTCACCCCTCCTAATCCATCACTCACTCCCCCAATATTCAGATCCTCCTCTGCAGACATGAACAAGGAGGCGCTCTTTCGGCGAGCTTCATGAAATCGCTCCCTGTCACGACGAGCCGCACCAACAATGGCAGCCCCAAACTGGCTGGTATAGTCCAGATTTTCCTGGGCACGGATGGAAGGTAAGGAAGGAGGTGGTGGTGCTGGGATGGATGGTGGAGCAGGGGGTTGTGGAGCAGGAGTGGAAGGAGGGGGGCCATGGGGTGGTTTTGTGTCACCTGTCTCAGAGGGAACATCAGCCTCCACACTGCTGCCCTGGCTGCTCCGTCCACTGCTGCTTGTCGAAGGGGCCTTGACGATAATGGTGGGGATGGGAATAGAGCTCTTCTCCACTGAGTCTTTACTCCCCAAAGAGCCTTGACCTTGGCGCAGGTCCTCTACCTTTGATTGCTTTACTAGGGGGCCCTTACCTCTTCTGGCTCCCCCTTTAGGACCACCTGCTGCAGCTCCACTGCGATCTACACGCTGGGGTTGGCTCTGGGTGGTCTGTTGTTGCTGGGGCATTACTGTAGCAATGCTAGATGGGGGTACGGCTGTGCTGTAACCTCTCCTGGGGCCGGCTGATTTAGCCCCCGTACCAGCCCCAATCCCAGCTCCAACTGACTCCCCAGTGTAGGCAACCTTCCGCGAAGCAGTCCTGCTTTGAGCAGTATGGGCAGCTGCCTGTACATAAGGTATTGTATGATCCACTGCTCCCCCGAGACCAGTGCTGGGGCCACCAGCCCTCTCCCTGCCACCCTGGGTGAAGTGCCCTGAATGGGAGAAGGGCTGGTAGTGCACAGAGGTGGGCGTTGCCTGGGACACGGAGACAGACGGCTGCTGGGATGACCTTGCTCTCCAACCGAGTGGGGGGGCGGAGGAGAATGGAGGATCTGGTGGTGCTGTAGTGGGAGGAGGGGGGATGTCATCTGGGCCAGGCACCGAAAGACTTCGTGCAAACTTCACCGCTGGAGGTTGCAGGAGTTGCTTCTCCTCCTCAAGCACACCTGCAGTGAAGCATTCACAGACAGAAAAAAGTCAAAACTTTTGTCAAATAAAACATTTTGTTTGAGATTGTCTGTTTTATTCTGCCTGCCCAAGGACCTGTTGGCAAGTCTGTCCTCCACTCCTCCATTCATCAGAATGCAGATCAGTTTGTTCGTTTTGTTTAACCAGTTACTGCCCAGCAGTACACAGCTTTTGTTTACTGGTTAGCATAACACGGTTTCTCAAGGAAAGTTTGCTAAATCTCAACAGGACAAGTTACTTTAGGTTTGTGGAGCAGTCAGCATCTAAAGTCCGGTCACGCAGCAGGATTTTTAAATCGTCAGATGATTTTTTTAAAGCAAAGACCCAACATGGTAATAAAAATCACCTATATACAGTTTTGGTCCTACAGTGTGTGATGTGCCACAACTCAGCAAACACTACATATGGACAGCTTTCAATCACAAACATTTCCCCCCCCCCCCCCCCCCCCCCCCCCCCCCGCCCAATTCTCATGAGATGAAACACAATTTCAAAGTAAACAAACACGGCAGTGCTGCATGTTTCATTCACCTCGCTTTCTGATTGGCTAAAGGTCACATTCAATAGGAAGCCCACTTGTTTGTCCTACATAATCAGACCAAGACTATCCTGCATGTTTCAAAAACTGGATAAATGACAGAAGCAGTCTGGATGTGCTTCTTAGTGGACCAGAGCACCGATGAGATGAGATGAGATGAGATGAGATGAGATGAGATTATCCTTTGTTAGTCCCAAAAGTGGGACATTTGCAGAAAGTGGACAGTACAGGTAAAAAGCAGCAAAAGTTTAAAAACAATAGAATAAAAAACAATACCAACAGGCAGCACACTGTAGTACACTGTTGTGACAACACACCACACAAATAAGGATTATCTAATAAGATTATCTTTAGAGCCCTTATAGTTATCGTGCACATCTTTAGAACTGTCTGGAGTGAAAAATCAGGTCAAAAGTCTTCATGAATATTTCACGGTGTAAAGCAGGCTTTCCCTGCGGCAAACATAACGGATGCAATGACACTTCTATTTCAATTCGGTACACTCTGTAGTTTTCGGCTGTCACACAGGACGGCTTCGTGTCACACGGTGAGGACTCCAGCGAGGTGGCTCACTGTACGGCCCAAGATTTGCATGAGCTAGCCTGCGCAATGCCTCGCTCTAGCAGGACGAGCTAACGTCACGAGTGCACTCACCGAAAAGCGCATGTCACTAAAAGCAGATCCATACCCAAGACAACGATGAAAGAAGAAAATTGTGTCAAGAGCATCGGCTGTAGCCTCCACTGATGCTAATGATGCTAATCCTACTCTTGGATTTTACACTCATTGTTAGTTGTTCACGTCAATCCCTGGGTGGATTTCCATTGGTCGATTGTAAACAGGAACTGTAGGTTTTCTGACACAGCTTGAGGATCATTGTAGGTAGTAGTGCTCAATAAGCTGCTGCTGGGCCGGTCTCACTGAACGGTTACAGACCTGCGCATCGCCCTCACCTTCACCGTTGTCGTCATGGCTCTTCACGAGGGATTTGTTCAGGACGGTAAAACAAACAACAAAGCAGAACCCGTTAAGAACTGAATTTTCAGCATCTGAATATTTTAGAAATTTGACTTGATGCTAATAGTGTGTTTGCACATAGTGACTTTTGCGTGACGCAGCTCTGTGTTTTACCAAGAGTTCACGAGAGGTTTACTGTTATTCCTTACGTGGTCATTTTAAACTTGCTCAGGTAGAAACTAAATGTTGTTTCTCATGTAGCTCCTTATCAGTGCCATAGCGTTAGAGTGGCTTAGGCCAAAATTACCATAAATACCTACTAAGCTAAAATAGACACACTACTAGATAAATACAGTACTAACAACTAAACACAAATGTACTGTTAAATGGTTCCTGACTGAGAAGCTGCTAGCTTGACTCCTCCATGAGAATTTCTCACCGATACATCAAATGCAATCATTTTGTCTGCTATTTATAAGTAGTTTAGTGACTCAGTATACGTGATTTCGCTTCATTTTTTCAATAAAGAAAAAATAACTAAAAAATTCTAAATCTCATATAAAGGCTTAAATGCTGCTGAAACAACATGTAGCTAAAGACAGATAGAGTCCACATGTTTGGTCACAGACAAGACATCATTGTAGACAAAGGTCAGCACATCAAAGACCTCGACTGGCCCAGAGGACGGACAGACAGGCGGACGGGGGCAGACGGAAAATACAGACAACCTCACCGATGGATTTCTGCCGCAGCATACCGTGCTGTGGGGCGTGACCTGAGGTGTACTGTCCACGGTCGTAGCCAACGCCCAACCCTGACATCACCTCCATCCCAGGCTGATCCCCGTAGTTTGTCTGAAAACAAAGATGAAATGGACAGAAGTCAAAAGGCCAGCTCACTCTGATCAACCTACAAGCTGCTCATACACACATCAGCTTCATTTTCAGATTCCTCAAAGCTGAATCCCAGTGACGGTAAACATGCAGTTATTACAAAGTAGACTCATTAATGATGCAGACAAGGTACACACCTCATTGCCATAGAAACTTCTCCCCCTGTCTCTCTTTGGCCCCTGTCCCCGTGTCCCCGACACCTCATTGGTGCTGATTGTCTGCTGAGCTGCTGCAAGAATTTCATCTAATTTATCTGAGAGGGCAAAGAAATAAAGAGACAAAAAAGGGAGACAGGGAGAGAGGAGGAGACGTCCGACAATGAAACAGAAACATCAACAGCAACAAAGTGAGGAGAACTACGTGGAAAGGGACACACTTGGTGAGGGTGGAAGAGAAAAAGAGACTCAGAAAACATCCAGACACAAACATGAGCATCCTTACTCAAAGCCATCTGATAGACTGTCCTCTTCTTCTCGGAAACTTGTGAGGACTCGAATTCTAAAAGGGAGGAAGGGAGAGACTGAGCAGTGAGTGCCGAGTCATTTTGGACAGATGGAAATACAATGCCTTCAGCAGGGAAAGCACCGGAGCGTACCTGATTTTTTTTTCCAAGGGGTAGCAGCTGGAAGGAGGACAAAAGGAGACTTCAGATCTGGCAGGAGTGAGTGTGAAGCGCTTGTTACAGTGAATACTAATCATATTCCCCTGAGCCAGACAAACCCAGTCACCTCGTGCAGGGTTCTTACATTCACAAAGTCAGATTCAAGCACTTTCGAGGTGAGTTTTCAAGATCTTCCAGGACCTCAGAGCGATGACAATGAACACACTAACGGTGCATAAATGCCCTGGGTGTCGATTTCTCTTCCTCATGCCGTGACGAATGTTTTATAAATGTCTCTAATAGTGATAAAATAAATTTGGTTTTTTAAAACTACACTCCCCGCATAGAAAATAGTTTATTTGGTACAACATACTTTAGGCATTATTACTGACATTTTCATTATTTAACCTGAGTTTGAGTTCAATCAGCCAACGGTGCTCAAAAGGATTTTTCTGCCCACTTTTTAGATGTTGTGCTGTTTCAGATGCAATAAATGCATAATTACAGTAAACAACCAACTGCTTTACAGCATGTTTACTGTGTAGAATTGTCTTCATTATGTTGATAAAGCTGCCATAATAGTACATGTTGTCATTACATAACATCATATAACATACGTGTATTTGAAGCTGTATCAAAAACTAATTTCATGTAGCTCAAACCCTAATTCAATCACAAGTATTGAAATTATTTTCTTAATCAGCTAAAATAAAAAAGCCACGGGTTATTTTCTGCGTACTGTACAGAATATTATAATTATAACGTTTCTCTGCTCTTCTCCTTTTGGCTGACAGGGAGATGCTAACTAGTATTAATAATAATAACTAGTATTAACTAGTTAATTGGTTAATCAGGGACCCTGCAGAAGTTTATTTCAACAAACATGCCAACTCATGTAGTTGTCTTATAAATAATTCGTTAAGAAATATACTGAAGAAATGCTTAAAATGAGAATATGACACAAAAGTCTACTTAACTCATTGTAGACCGAGAGACCATCTAAAGGCTCAGGAACCCATTTGCATGTGCTCTGGATTCCTTAGCTGGTTAGAGTGTTAAGAGACATTTTGAGAATATTCAACCTATTCATATTATTATTACTGTCTGATATTTTGAATGTGGGGCTTTCATAAGCTGTAAGCTATAATCATCACACTTATAACTAATAAATACTTAAAATATCTGGCTTTGCATGGGTCCATCTCACATACCAGTTTCACCTTTTAAGTGAAGTTAATGACATTTTAATGACACCTTTCTCAGTGGCCTGGTGGTAGAGTGTCCGCCCTGAGACTGGGAGATCAGGGGTTTGATTCCTGGTTGGGTCATACCAAAGACTTTGAAAAAATGGGACCCAATGCCTCCATACTTGACACTCATCATTAAGGGGTTGGATTGGGGGGTTAAACCACCAAATAGTTCCCGAGCACGGCTGTGTCTGCAGCTCACCGCTCCCCCAGAGGATGGGTCAAATGTGGAGAACAAATTTCGCACACACACCCGTGTGTGTGTGTGACACCTAATGGGACTTTTTGCAAGTTTTACCTGTAAACTGAACAATAGGGTCACTCCAATGACTGCCACATGAACTTAGACATTTTTTTAAGTTAAAACAAGTGTTTTAAACAACTTATTTGTTCAGTTTACAGGAAACACTTTCAGCTTGTCACCATGCCGATAGCCCATAGCCACGTGTAGAGGAGGAAGAGGGCTACATGCCCTTCCTTCATGCTGCAGCTAGAATAACCTGTGTAATTATTCTGTGTCGTGGGTCTGAAGGTGTATTCTGGTCATCAGAGCATATTGATTAAACTACTTCTGTTGCAGATTCAACAGCTTTCAAGCTCTTGATTTTTAAATTCAAGAACTTCTAAAAACTCAGAAAGGATCACTTTGAAAGTTAAACATTTTCAAGGAAATGTAATGAACTGACCTGGATTGGAATGTTTGTTATGTGAAGTGCCTTGAGACGACTCTTGTCGTGATTTGGCGCTATATAAATAGAATTGAATTGAATTGAACTGAATTGAAGGATTTGAAGCGTCTGTAAGAACTCTGCTTAGTGAGGATTTTCAATATTTATTTAAAAAAACAACCACACACACACACACACACACACACACACACACACACACACACACACACACACACACAGATTTAGGTTAAAGTTTACTCCCACCTCTCTCCACTGTTAAACGTTAGGATCCCATCCGCGGAGCGGCGAGGACAAAGAAGACAGAAGTGAAGCTGAGTTAGTGGTCAGCTCGGTTCAGAGGAGGTGACCCTGGCATCCTCTGGTGGGAGTGAGTGTTACTAGACAGATGGGTCGATCTTCAATAATCTCTGATATTAAATACAACTTTACCATTTTTGGTGTATTGTTTTAGCTAAAAGAACAGTAACAAAGTAGTAACTAATTCCTCTTTTATTTTTCATTTAGAAAATGCTATTGTCCTATCAAAAACAAACCCTTATGAGAAAAAAGCTGCAGGAAAACAAGAGTTTTTGCTCTCTGGGTTTATTTCCCTGTTATCCTGCAGCATGACCTCCAGGTCAACTGGGACACTGCACCAATCACAACGTAGAGAAGGTTGAACAGACGTTGTGACTGAATGAAGCTGAAAGCATCAGAGTAAACAGATGGCAGCCACTGGCGTGACTTCGCCACACACCGCGCTCTCATCACCTTGAAGATAAAAGCATCACAAAAGGTGTCTCACAAATTAAGCAGAACACTCTCATAATAACTCACAGCTAAGAAACGACGACCTGCTGTGTTTTAACTCAACTGATTTCTCTAATCGTTTTTATGCAGAAATGTCTTTTTTAAAGCTGACAGGCAGTTTGATGTACACAATTCATAACTTCCTCAGTTTGCTTCTGAGCAACCGGAGTATAAAAGTTCTTTCCATGATTCCCCAAAATGTCTTTTAAAGACTGTTAGGAAGACAAAATGAATGCTGCTTATAACGACTCATGGGATCACTTACATTTGCACAGGGGATGAAATTAATCCATTAGACCATGGCACTTTCAGGCCTTTATAACAAGCCTACATTTTGTTTGTTGACATAAATCTGTTTGTCAAATGAATGAACACTTTTCTCCAAAAATGAGTCAGATGTTTTTCAGGATCGACCTGTAGTCTAAATGACAGTACGGGTTTAGAGGGTGCACAGTGAGCTGTGTCACATCAGGAAGCTGATTTTAGGTTCAGGACGCCTGAGTGTCACATCGTGTGTTCATGCTTTGTGCTGAGCAGGTGAGGTCACACCACAGAGAGGACGGGCTGGTTAGGAGGGAGGTGTGGGGGGAATGAGGCTCATCTCAGAACTCAGGATACGTTTTACTGATTACTGTCCTCAAGAGGGAGTGATGAAGACTAAAGCAGAGTCTTCTCCAGCAGCATCTGTGTGTCAGCTCTGAGCATGCTCAGAACCATATGGCAGTAATGGTAGGAAGCAGAAATGTTCAGAAGATATCAGCCAATGAAAATGCTGGCCAACATCTCCGAGTGGGGGTGTTGACCCTCGCCACACACTCTCCTCCTACTGTTTTGCTTCAAATAGAAAAGGCATAGCTACATATATTGCTGTTACCATAGGAACAGACTAGGAACAAAGTTAAATTACTCGTCTCAATAATTTTTAAAGTGATGGCATTTCCTTCCCAGTGAACAAAACTCAAGCTTGTTTTAAAATAATGAAAGCAAATATTTTTCTTTTTGCTAAAAATGTATAAGGTCCAGATCAGTGTGTGTGTGTGTGTGTGTGTGGGGGGGGGGGGGGTGCATGTGTGTATGCGCGCATGTGTGTGTGTGTGTGTGTGTGTGTGTGTGCGCGTGTGTGTGTATGTGCACGTGTATGCGCGCATGTGTGTGCGCGTGTGTGTATGTGCACGTGTATGCGCGCGTGTGTGTGTGTGTGCGTGTATGCGCGCGTGTGTGTGTTTGCGCACGCGCATGTGTGTGTGTGTGTGTGGGCGTGTGTGTATGCGCACGTGTATGCGCGCATGTGTGTGTGTGTGTGTGTGTGTGTGTGCGTGAGTGTATGTGCGTGTGTGAGTGTTTGTGCATGTGTGTGTGTGTGTGCTTGTGCACGTGCATGTGTGTGTGTGTGTGCGTGCGTGTGTGTGTATGTGTGTGCATGTACCTGCACGTAACTGTGTGTGTGTAAGTGTGTGTGTAAGTGTGTGTGTATGTGTGTGTGTGTGTGTGTGTGTGTGTGTGTGTGTGTGTGTGTGTGTGTGTGTGTGTGTGTGTGTGTGTGTGTGTGTGTGTGTGTGTGTGTGTGTGTGTGTGAGAACCCTTCTTTAGCCTGTGAAGTTAAAGCTGTGCTTGGACCAGGGAGGAGTAGGGGGTGCAGGAAGTAAGAGGTAAGGGAAGTAGGAGGTGAGAGAGGGATCACACGGTGGATGGCAACACGTTGTCTGGGTAGGGTTACCTGTAGTGGGGGTGCTGGTAGTGACAGTGTGGAACCTCTGAAAGAACAGTGAAATTCATTGAGACCATCATCGGTGGAGGCAGCCAATCTTCCCCTCTTCTTCATCTGCCACCACAGAACCACCGTCTCCTCTCGACTTTCTGGCCATCTAAATTTAGCTGGAGCTCAAGTTCTCTTCACACTTTCAAAATCCTTAACAACCCTCCACCCTGGTTTCACACTGCCTCTGTCATCCCTCGTTACTAGAGTCTGCACCCTCCTTTCTGTTAATCTTGCTAACAATGTTTATCCATTCTTTGTCATTATTTTGGTTTCATCCTCCAAAAAGCTAATCTAGGCTTGCCTCTTACCCATCTCCTCCAGCTCTGACGTCATTGATTTGGAGCGTAGGGCGATGGCTGGAGTGCTCAGCCTCTTACTCTGCTGAGGGACTGGAACAGAGAGAAAACAGAAAGGCAGCCGAGGTCAGTCAGTCTGTTCAAGGTTTAGTCTCATTTACCACCAGATAAGAGGGACTCTTACTTTTCTTCCTCGAACCCTCCTCCATGTCAGGGTTGCGGGTTACCATTACAACCTTTACCATGAGGCAGTTGCCCCCCTGACGGATCATGTTGACGACCTGCCGGTGGCCAACCTTCACCACATTCTGACCGTTGACCTGAAACATGGACATAGAGTGTGGATGCTGAGTTTATTACTGACCCCAACCCTAATGAACAAGTCCTTAGTGGACAGTCTGTCTGTGGGACATTAAAGAAAACAGTTGTCCAGCGGGGTGGGTGGAGGGGGGTTTCCTAGCTTAAATATGGTTTACCCAGACAGGTTAAAGGTGTGGAACACTGAAAAGCCTAAACAGCCAATGAAACTCTAGCGTTTAAAAAGCCTGACGAATCTACGACCCATTGTCACTTAACGTCTTGACTCACGACGTGGAAGGCTGTCGTTGGTTTAACGTCCAGGAAAAAGGAGAGAACATCTGGGCTGCTAGCAGAGGCTAACTGTTAGCATTAGCAACTCCACCACACAGCAGAACTCTTCCAGGTTTGGGTTATTTGTGGAGCTATAACAGAGTCGTAGAGTCGTGTTGATATTATCCAATCCAAGGCGAGATGTCCAGATATCAGGAAATAAGACCCCTAATCCTGTCGTCTGAAGCTGTGATGTGGATCGCTTCTAGTTCCCGAAAAAGATGCACCGGGGCTTGGACATGTCACACCTTTGCCTAAAAGCTCTCTTCTGCAGGATGATAATAAAATATATGTGAAATTTCCTGTCAGAACGCCTCCCCTTAAACATGGCGGTACCTCTATGAGGAAATCCCCCATCCTGAGACCGGCTCTCCAGGCCACGCCTCCCTCGTCCACTGACTCCAAATACTGCAGAGCAGGGAAGGCCGGAGTGGGAGTAAACTCTTCAATTGGAGTTTGAGCTGGAGACAAAATGAAGATAATAGATTACATCTAAAGAAGCATGTGTCCAATCTATGGGATTATTGTGTCTCTGACTAAATGAGACCAGTAGGAAAAGTTTCTGTGTCTATCCCACATTCTTACCTTTGGCTCCTCTTAGCACAAAGCCAAACCCTTCACTGTCTTTTTTCTGCAGAAGCACAGATTTCTCCTTGATTATATAGTCACTAGCAGAGAGGAGACAGAGAGAAGTTCGAGGGTTAGATTTAACACAACACAAACCATTTTAAAAGTACAACAAAAAGTCTTCCAAGTAGATCCAGGTTAAAGCTCCAATAGGGCATTCACATCTGGGTCGGCCCAGCCCAGCCCTGGTAGGTGAATTGTGTTCACATCTGGGTGATCTGTGCTCTGTCCATGCTAAGCGTTTCTCTGGCGCTCTGCTTTGAGCGATGTTGCCGCTGCAGCGTGAGGACAGACTGCTGTGAGGAGCACACAGCACTCAGTGAGAGAGTAGCAAGCTGTATGCTTCATATCAGTCTCCAAAAGCAATAGAGCTCACAGCCGCCTTGGTTTCCTCATTTAAGAGGACACCACAGATTTCTCCACACGTCTTTTGCCTTGTCCCTATGCTCGGAGACATCTGTGTTCCTGAGAAGGCCGTGTGAACAGAACCTGGCCACACCAGGGCGGGGGATTCAACCACGACCGAACCAGATAACTTTTTGTCTTTCCTAGCTGATCAACTTCATAAAATATCCCTGCAAAGCATCATCACAAATAACAGGGAGTCCATCCAAAAGTTGGACGTTAGTTGAAAATGTACCTTTTAAAAATGATCTCAAAATGATCCGACATGTAAAGAGCTGCAAAACCAAATAAAGGAAAAGATTTGTGCACAAAGATTCCTTGATAGCGTGGATTCTTTTATGTATATACTGTAGGATATGGTTTGGGCAGCCTTGTTAATCTTCATGACTTTTCTTTATTCCTTTTGTTGCTACAATAAAAACATTCAGTTAAATATATCACATAGGAGACACACAGTGATGTCTGAGAAGCGAAACAAAGTTTATAGGATTTACAGAAAGTGTGAAATAATTGTTTAAACAAAATTAGGCAGGTGCATAAATTAGGACGCCACAAAAAAGAAGTGAACACAAAATTTAGTAGATCCTCCTTTTGCAGAGATAACAGCCTCTAAACACTTCCTATAGCTTCTAATGAGAGTCTGGATTCTGGTTGAAGGTATTTTGGACCACTCTTCTTTACTAAACATCTCTAGTTCATTCAGGTCAGATGGACAGCTCTCTTTAACTCACACCACAGAGTTTAACTAATATTCAGGTCTGGGGACTGAGATGGCCATTCCAGAATATTCTACTAGTTCCTCTGCATGAATGCCTTAGTCGATGTTGAGCAGTGTTTGGGGTCGCTGTCTTGTTGAAAGATCCAGCAGCGGTGCAGCTTCAGCGTTGTCACTGATTCCTGGTGTAGCCTCCGGAAATGGTCTGGTTTTCCATCTACAGGCCACCTCTTCAGTATCGGATCATTTGGAGACATAAGTCTTAACTGGTGCTTTAATCTGCAAGAAAGATACTGTTGCTTCGCCAAGGTCTTTCCAAGCTCACTCTTATCTAAGACTGTTTTTTATTCACAGCACAAGATGGATGAACTTTCAAAATTAAATCATATAATGGACAAGATGAGTAAATAATCATAGGGCTGGATGAACAATAATGGTTGAAGAATAACAATGTTTTGATTAATCTGTGCTTAAATTACTGAGGTTGAAATGAATATTATTATTTTATGGTCAGTAAAGTTAGATTTAACAAGTGAATCACTATCTACTGACAGCTCACACACTCAGACACGTAACGATGACAAGGTTAAGCTAATATCCTGACACATTGCTTTCTGTTCCACCAATCAGAGCTCCTGTATCTGACGCAAGGCGTGTTTTCTGAGGTTTGTTGGTAAACCCCTTTTTGTATGTCAAATTCTGATTTGTTAGTAAATCAAAACATGACAATTATTAAAACAGGACTCACTTCACCGTGAGTCAGTTCTAGTTCTTGAGTTCTTGAGAAAGCTTCGGACCGGCCATCCTGAGCAAACCTCTTTAACCCAGAGCATCTTTTGACAAGCTGTCAAAAACCTGTTGCACGCTACAGCTGACCGCAAACGGTTCCTTCAGAATAAAGCTGAACCAACTTCAACTCCTTAAGAGTTATTCCTAAGATGCAAAAGAAAAAAAACCTGTCGTGGCCTGGAGACATCCCGAGACCAGTTTAGTGGCACTGCAGTTTCTTCCACAGACTTCTGTACCTCTGGGGTCCCCAGATCTCAACACATTCCAGATCTACCACGGGGGTCTCCGAGCTGGTACGTAGACTCGACAAATTGCATCTAATGTGTTTTTGATGAGAATCAACTTTGTTAGTTTATAGCAGACCAAATTCACTCCCACTCAGAACTCAGTTTCTCCAGATACGAAGGTTCTGATAACATCACATTCACACATCATCACACCTCACATTCCATCCACTTAAATTCATTCATCACATAAAGTGTCCGAGTTGTCATATTTTAATTGTTTAGAAAATAAATTTCTTACTTTTTATCAACTTGACTCTCTTCTTGAATTAATACAAAGTGTCGTACAATCCCTGAATAAACAAAGAATTCTAAATCTTCTGGTTAAACATTCAAAGACCAATCAGACTGGATTTCCATATTTATATTGAAATTCACATCATGGTGGTCAAAGTGTAGTGTAGTATATCAAGCTTTAAAAGCACCCAAATACATACGTATGTTACATCCTACACTTGACATTGGTCTCCAGAATCTACTGATATTGAGAGGAATCCATTCGTCCCTCAACGTTAACAAGATTCCCAGTCCCTGCACTGGCCACACAGCCCACAGCATGATGTAACAACCACCAAGTTTTACTGTAGGTAGCAGGTGCTTTTCTTGGAATGCCGTGTTCTTTTTCCTCCATGCATAACGCCCCTTGTTATGCCCAAATAACTCTGTTTTAGTTTCACCAGTCCACAGCACCTTATTCCAGAATGAAGCTGGCTTGTCCAAATGTGCTTTGGCAAACCTCAAGCAGCTCTGTTGGTACTGTGGGTGGCGAAAATGCTTCCTCTGCATCACTCTCGCATGCAGCATCTCCTTGTGTGAAGTGCACCAAATAGTGGAACGATGCAGAGTGACTCCATCTGCAGCAGGATGATGTTGTAGGTCTTTGGTGCTGGTCTGTGGGTTGACTCTTGACTGTTCTCACTGCTCTTCACTTCTGATTATCTGAGATGTTTCTGGGTCTGCCACTTTGAGCCTTAACATGAACTGAGCCTGTGGTCTTTCATTTCTTCACTATGTTCCTAACTGTGGAAACAGAAGCAGAATTCTCTGAGGCAGCTTTCTGTATCCTTCCCCTAAACCAGGATGGTGAACAATCTTTGTTTTCAGCTCATGTGAGAGTTGTTATGAGACCTCCATGTTGCTGCTCTTCAGAGAATATTCAAAGAGGAGGCAAACTTACAATTGGCTGAATTGACTGAACTGGGGTTGAGTCACAGGGGCAGTAGCTGAAGAGAGGACCTGCCTTCCCTCTCCCCAGCCACTTAAGCCAGCTCCTCCGGGGAAATCCCAAAGCGTTCCCTCGCCAGCCAAGAGACATAGTCCCTCCAGCATGTCCTGGGTCTTCCTTTAGGTCTCTTCCCAGTTGGACGTGCCCAGGAGGCCTCACAAGGGAGGTGTTGATGAGGCATCCTGACTAGATGCTCGAACCACCTAAACTGGCTCCAACTTTCACATCCCACTATATAGTTAAACACTTTTTTGTGTTAATTTTCATTTCAGTTCAGATTAGATTTAATTTTACTCGTGGTTTATATTTACCGTAAATCCTCTAATACAGGCCCGGCACTGCTGGACTGACCATAGGGCATAGCGGGCAACTGCCCGCTGGGCCGACCCTTTCATCTTTTATGGGCCGGTGTCTGTTTTTTTTTTTTTTTTTTTCCCCCTGGCCTCTAGTTGTTGCAGACAACTTGTCCGCGCCGCCCCACGCGACGCCTCGTAAAAGTTGGTGGATTGGCCAATTGGTCATAATACACTCTGGGCTGGACCAATAGCCAGAGGTCTGATGCACCCGCTAGTTGTTTGTGAATCTCAGTAAACAGACAGACGAGCTTAACAAAATGGAGAACAAGAAACGGAAAGCAGGAGCGGAGAAATTTCGACTAAAAAAGAAACTGGCCCTTCAGGCTGATGCTGGCACATGTGTTAAAATCTCACAGTTGTTTGGTAGTGAAGGTTCAAGTAAAATCAATTTAGGAAGTGATGGAGCCTCAGCCCAGCGACAGGTTAGAGAAGAAAAGAGGGAGGAGGAGGAGAAACCCGAGCCGGTGTTGTGCCATTAATCGTTTCGCTGCCAAAAAATGATTAGCCACCGCGGGATCGCGCACGGTTAGGTAATTGCATTTCTAGACAAAATTCCCCAGGATTTCGCCCTAAAACTCAGCATATCTAGCAATATGGACATTCAGAAAGCAAAGATAACCTCTTCCGGTACTTAAACAGATGTTTATCGCGGATATTAGTGTGGCAGTGTTTGTGGCACCCTGCGCGGGAGCACGAGGACGTGCTTGTGGAAAGAGGGAGGAAGATGTGGCAGTGTGAGCATCCTATCACAATGTCTTGATTGATCATGCGCCCTGGATAGTTGGTCAAGGGAATGTTCCTTTGGCTGACTGGTTAGAGCGTATGACTCTCACCCCAGAGGTCTGGGGATCGAATACAACCTGGGCCGTCGTTTATCCACCTTGCCACGTTAGTTTTTCCAGTTCGGAAGTTGTTTTAAGTGTTGCTAATTGTCTTAAACGTTCACAATGAGGATATATTAATCATTTTTGCAATATTTGCGATTGAAAGATGGTTTGTGGTAAGAACTGGCTTTCTTTATGTTACAGCCTTGATACTAAAAAAATAAATAAACAATGTAAAATGGCACCCTGTATTGAATGTAAACGTTGTATAAATGTAAATAAACAATTCTCCAGCGATTTAATTTTTTCCCCTTCCTTTCTTTAGTCCACTTGACATGGAGCCACAGTTAACTAGTTTGGGGCACATTTTTACTTGGAAAAAAAGTATTTAAACTGATCAAGCTTTGGCTTTACAATGACACTGTGTAAGTTGCTAAACATTA